TCCCTCTATCTTAGGCAAATCAAAGCAGGCTGCTTGGTTTAGAAAAAAGGACCCTGAGATACACTTCCCTCCAGAAACCCCTGCTGTTTTGTGTCCCTTGAACTTCTCTTCTAAAGGTTGCAGAGAAGTCATACTTTCTCAGCATTTGGTCTTGAACTCCTGAGCTCAGGGGATCTGCCCACCTGGGCCGCCCAGAGTGCTCAGATGACAGGCATGAGCCACCGCGCCTGGCTGATTTTTTCTCAGCGTTAGGAAATGGGAAGATTGGACTTTCAGGAATAGGTAAATGTGAGTTGGGGGAAGGGAGATAGAGAACATTAGATTGCTACAACAATGACTTACTGTTGAAGAATAGCAAACTAATTATCACATTACAATTCTCTCAGCCTACCATGGTGGGTAATTAGCTTCCTTGGGGGCTCCTTAAAAAAAAAAAAAAAAAAGAAAGAACAGAAAAGATTCTTTCTCAGCAACTAGCTATTTGGTCCTTTTAATTCAATTCAATTCAATTGGGTGCAAAGTTACATAAAGAGAAAATTAACACATTAATGCCTGAAATGTAAACAAAGAGAGATACACTAGAAATGTCTTTCTTTAGTTCTGAAGCCAGGCTTACCTTTGCCCATCAAAATAGTAAGTTCTGAGTTAATCAAAATGTGGCACTGCATAAGCTTGCCTTCATTTTTCACACAGGAGCTTCCTGGGCTTAGATTTAGTCCTTTACCATGGTTTGTGACTTACTTTACAGACAGACATGACTAATGTAACTTGGAGTCTAAGAGTCCATCAGCTCTGGCCAGTGAGAATGAGCTCCTTACACCTTGCAGGAATATTATATGGACAACCAAAGCCTTCCTTAACTTGAGTTTAGGGCTTAGCAATAGACATTCTATTGGGGAATAAACTCAATATTGGCAGGAGTGGGCATTGAACTTGAGGGGAATAAAGTAGAATCATTTTGATTTATTCATGGGCAGAACAAGAAAGAGACAACTTACGGACCAAGGATTAAAAGGATTCAAATTATGGTGCAAATTACAGACCAAATAGCATCAATTTATGAAACCTTAAATCGAATTTAACCCAGTTGTTAATTGAACCATGAATTGGACCAAATATATATATTTTAAAATCTAGCAAGCTTATTCAAACCAGAATCAAACTTATATATTTTCTAATGAGTTAGAACATTAAAACATTCCTTAAACTGAACCTGAACTGAGTCAATGTTTCATTTGGTTTGAGTCCCTGCTGAAGAGAAATATTTGGGGCTTTCTTTTGCCTTCAAAGGAAATTAAAATTCCCTAGAAATGGCCTATCTTCTAGAGCCTTTAGTTACTCAGGTTGAATGAAGGTATATGAATCCATCCACAAGTTCCAGATCTAAGACAGACTAACAGGATGGAAACAGGGTTGTTCTAGTATGTCTTAGAAAAGAATAAAGAATTTCTGCCCCAACCAATGCCATCATTCTTTGGTTAAATATATATTAGCCTGTATCTGTCCTTTGCTAACAGCTCAGAAAAATCTTGACATTTTATGAAATAATTCTTTCTTCTTAAATCTCGAATGTCTATGAGGAGAAATTTATGCCAAATGAAAACTATGCATTGCCTATAGCTCATCATTCTAGTTATCTGATTCTGATTCTGTGGGAGCTATGTCACAACTTTGTAAATTGTGAATAACTGATAACAATGGAAAATTACTCTCATGTATAGACAAGCAAATTCTGAATAATCTAAAATAATCTACCAAATCTTAGAGAAGGCAAGAAACTTGCCCCAAATCACAAAGCTAGGATATGGTGTGGCTGGGCCTTCTTAAAGGGTCATCTCCCTCTCCTCTTCCATATACTATCCCCCTCCACTTTCCAGCTTCGAATGGTGCTGAGTGAGGTGAGGGTGGAGAAGAGAAAATGGGTATATCAAAATTGAACCTTACCTAAGGTACCATTTTGCCCAAGATCAGCTTTACCCCTATGGAATGTTCACTGAGTTGATACATTGGACTTGGCTCTAAACAAACTGCCATGGAACAGACTTAGTAACCTAACATGGATCATCCTGCTTTTGGGGGCTAGAGTCATGTGGAGGCTCTAAACACATCATCTGAGATGTGCCCAAACATTCTGGAAATTGCCATGAAGGTTGTATAGACTAGGGTTTGGCTTTATTTATGTTCATGAACATAATGAACATAAATGAAGATTCCAATTCTCTCTACTGAGAACACCACTTCAGATTGGTGGTAGGAACAGAAGTTGTTTGTAATGCTGATACCTGCCAAGTAAATTCTCCTCCCCCCCCCCCATTAAATTGGTTACTCTGTTTATCTTGTGAGTTTGAATAAATCCTTTTTCTTTTTATTAGCCAGGGAGTTCTGAATAAGCAAAAGGAGATCTTGCCTGCTTAAGCCTGGGTTGGGATCTATTATAACTCCTTTCAATTTGACAAATATTCATTGAGTCTTAATCTATTCCTGTCCTGTCTCTAATACCTTAGAGTCAGAGAGGTGCATATTTTGTAGAAGGGAAATTCTGTAAGTAGCATGTTGGAGATCAGTGATTCGATATATGTTTAAACTGTGTTTAATTATGGGTAGTTGTATTCATGTGTGCTGGGTAACCAATTTGATACAGTCTGCAAAGAGAATCTATTTACTTTAAGCTGATACCACCTGGGAATTTCTAACTAATGGGTTGTATGGTGGTTTAAAAATAGGTCTGCAAATTCTTTGATAACTTCTCCCTAGAAGAGGTAGAATCTAATTCTTCTCCCCTTGAATGTAGTCTGGACTTAATATTTCTAATGAATAGAATAAAGGAGAAGTGACAGTGTTGGCTTTGGAGACTAAATCATAAAAGGTACTGCCATCTTAGAAGTAGATCCTGCAGCCCCAGTTGAGCCTTCAGATGACCATAGCCCCTACCAATACCCTAATTGCAATCACATGAGAGACCGTGAGACAGCAAAGCCACTCCAGAATTCCTTGCCCACAGAAACTCTGCGATAACAAATGCTTGTTTTAAGCGACTACATCTTAGAGTAAATTCTTTCACAGCAAGATATAAATAATGCAGGTTAGAAATTCCAGAAATAGCCAGTGCTGTTTCTGAAAAATAATTAGCTAATCAATTATTGCCAAACTATGAATCTTGACCAAGTGTTTTGAAAGTGTGTTTTTTGCAAGTCTCTTCTTAAGAACTGTCCAAACAATTTTTTCTCAGTCTCAGTGTCAAAACCTGGGTCTTTATAGTTTCAGCAATACAAATTTGCTTAGATAGATTCATGGGCTCTTCTGTACATTTGAACAAGATAGCACCAAAGCACATGCATTTTTATTCCTTCAACAAACGTTATTAAATGCTTACTGGGTCTCTAGCACCATGCTGGGTAAAATAGATGCTTCTGTGCATCTATTCATTCACAAAAATTACTTGAGCATACTAGGGGCCAGGCACTGTGCTCTACACTGAAGATACAAAAATGAACATGATACCTTGAGTGGCTCAATATTTAGTTGGGGAAGTAGACAGGTAAATACATACTTTACAACACAATGTGGTGAATATTACCCCAGAGGTATGAATGACATGCTATAGTATTGCAGAGAACAGAACAAGTATCTCTATGTGAGGCCTTGAAGGATAAATAGGAGTTTGTGAGGCCTTGAAGGATAAATAGGAGTTTGTGAGACCTTGAAGGATGAATAGGAGTTTTCAAGCAAAGAAGACTGGTGTATTAGAGGGGTGGTATTCCAGGTATGGGGGAACAGGTTGTGCAAAGACATGGAAGTAGTAAAAGCCTGGGCTGCCTTTTCATATTTTAGTTTCCTCTATCTGAGAATAAAGAAATGGCTGTGATATACATGTTCCTGGCAGTGTGAGATAGTCAGGACATGCTGTTTTACTAGGCATAAGTATTTTAAAGGCTGCTCAAGCTGCCCCAATAGGCTGCTCAAGCTGCCCCAAACTGAAGGGGTCTTGTGCTTCCCCAAGGCTTTCAGGCTAGAAAAATTATCATGAACCCTGAGCCTTGGGAAGACAAATGTGTAAGTCTTCTGGACCGTATAATTTCCTTAGTGTGAAGACCTCAGATTGTCTATGCATGAGTCTACTAAGCTTCTGAACTTGGACTTCTAGGGCCTTTTGTTTTTAACATTTGTGATAAAAGAATGGAACACATTGCCTTTTAGATCAGTACCACTCAAACTGCTGGTCTAAGACAAGATAGAGATTGCATCTGAACATAAATCAACATATTGCTGCCCTCATCAATAAAACCATGATCTGAAAAAAAAAAGTCAGCGGAACTAAATGGTTTGCTTAGTTGTATAGTTGATTTACATTTGGCACAAGCTTCTAATCTTCCCACAGACTGGCTGATAACAAATAGTTCGTGGCTTGGCAGTGATCCATAGACTACATCTTTTAGATAACTCACTATCCACTAAGTAAAATCTTATATGACGAATCTCCTTGTTTCCTTTCAGAACCTGGTCTGAACTAATTAGAAGCCAAAACAAAAAGGGAGACAAGTATACCATAAACATATACAGTTTAAAAAAAGGGAGACAAGATAAATCTAAAGCTCAAGTGCATCAATTTTGTTGACACTTTTGCTTATCATTTTTTTTACATTCTTGTTCTTGATTCTAATTTTCAATTTCAAATTCATGTTTGACTTGATTATTTCACTGAATATGATTTTGCCAGATGATGTTGAAGATGATGACAATGATGACAACCATGACAATAAGCATTACAGCAAGCATGGCAAATGGGCCAGATTTCTGATCTGCATCCATTTGAGTAGAATAAGGGTTATGGCTGTGCCTCCATGACTCCAAACAAGTTAAACTGTTTTAATCTCTGAATTGATAGAATTGGTTTTCATGGAGACACAGCGGTGTTCATGAGGAACTCATTCCTCTGCATGCAGAGGGCATCAGCCTCCTTAAATGAAGTCAGCGTGCACAGTTAGCAGAAAAGCACTCACCGTCTTGGTCGTTACCTGAGTCAGCTGGAGACTTGCTTCGGCGCATAGGGCCAGGGCTCTTGGCTGAACTCTTCTGAGGCGTCGGGGACGCCTTTGGGCCAGCTGTGGCTGAGGGGTTTCCCTTCATGACTCGGCATTCTGGGGCAAAAGGACACAGACAGCTTAGTAGAGGGTAAAACTGAGGCTCAGCATGTTACCAGTCTCAGCAAACTGAAATAAACACCACAGGCCAAAACATATAAGTGGCTTAGGACTACAAGGTGGTTCTCATTGTTTGTAGGAACCATGGCTCTGGGAAAGGAGGTATGGGGGAAACTTCCAGAAGTCACCTGAGTAAAGTTAAGTATTTAAGTTCCCTGGATTATGGAAACAAGGGCAGAAGTCCAAAAGCAGATCAAGTAGGTAATTAAATAGTCAACTCAATCATTTGTGCAAAACTTAGGCATGTCCCGGAATAGTAGCTATTGATATAATGTTTAATTAATTTCCTTGGAGTAGAGATTGACAGCTCAGAGGCTATAGACACACAGATGAAACATCCATGAGTAATTTAAAGAAGAGGGAGGAAGTTACCATTATTTTCTATTACATACCACACATTGTAATATGCACATGATGGATGTCATGTCATTTTGTATAAATAAGCACTATTACCACCACCACTATCTTGCATTTCTAGAGTACTTTTTTTTATTTTCAGTGTACATTATCATAATCCTTTATGCTGCTTTAATAAATTAATGACTCTGCCACTCGGAACTCAAGAAAAGTTGCGGGTGTGTAGGAGAGTCTGCCAAATGCTCCTGCATTTGCCCTAGCCCCAGTCTGACACATCTGGCTACCCTTTCTATGCAGGTTACTCAACATACCCTAATATGGTAATTTTGAGCACTGAAAGTGCTAATTTTTAGGGGGATTATTATATTCATTTTGCTGCTGAGAGTACAAAAAGCCTAAGCCTCTTGCTTAGGGCTACAAAGCAAGAAAGCAGCAGAACAAAGACTAAAAGTCAAGTCTCCTGAGTCCCAATTTAGTGTTCTTCCCACTACAGATTTTCCAACCTCGTGCTGTGGTGTGCAAAGTGGGATCAAACAACTGGGTACAGGGTGGTCTTTCCTCTTTAGACACTTGTTGTCTCCCACTTAAAAAAAATACATCGAGGCCGGGCGCGGTGGCTCACGCCTGTAATCCTAGCACTCTGGGAGGCCGAGGCGGGCGGATTGCTCAAGGTCAGGAGTTCAAAACCAGCCTGAGCAAGAGCGAGACCCCGTCTCTACTATAAATAGAAAGAAATTAATTGGCCAACTAATATATATATATAAAAAATTAGCCGGGCATGGTGGCGCATGCCTGTAGTCCCAGCAACTCGGGAGGCTGAGGCAGGAGGATCGCTTGAGCCCAGGAGATTGAGGTTGCTGTGAGCTAGGCTGACGCCACGGCACTCACTCTAGCCTAGGCAAGAAAGCGAGACTCTGTCTCAAAAAAAAAAAAATACATCGAAATATAAATTAACTAGAAAGATTAGGGGAGCTATTCTGGTAAATTGAGTTTTTTAGGAAACTGACTTAAGCAGAATGCCCATTTTTGTTTCATTTCTTCTTTTGGTTGATGAACTTTAGTGATCATGGTCCAGAGCTGGAGATGTAGAAGGTATAGGAAATTGGACATTACCTGAATTTTGCTTAGCTATTCTATGGTCATTTGCCTCTTCCAAAAGAGAACACAGCAGAAATGCCACCTGTTTCAGGGTCCTTGTCATTTGAGTTGTTTGTAAAGTCTATATTAGTAAAACTCCTTCTGTTTTTCTCACTCTTTACTCATCCTAAGTAGCAAATATGTTTTGAATGTGTCTTTTCATCAGGGTCCTATTCTAACCTTGTTGCTTTGTGAGCTAATTAATCTTTAACTTATACCTGGAGCTTGGACTCAAGCAAAGGGAGATGGAAAGATGTTGAGCTCCTTCCTGAGATTAACAACCCCTCTGGAATCCTGAATCACTAAACAGGGCAATGGGGCAGCAAAGAGTTTGACACTAAGAATACAGTAGAAAAGTCTTTCTAAAATGGAACCATCATTATGAGCCAAATAGCTAGAGGATGTTGACTTAAAAAAAAGTATATGTACAATATCCAAGTTCTGACTCTAAACATTCCTCCCTATGGTCTGATTGTACCTGTCAGCCCATGTGACACAATATGTGGTTCAAAAAATATGGTCACTATTGCTCTAGGTGGTGAGTTTTATTGAGTTTGGAGGCTGGGACTCTGGGACACCCAGTCATCCTTTCATTTAGTGACCCATATATCCAAATATACAGGAGAAAAACTAATAATATCTGCCCCTAAGGGACCATGTATGGATGTTCTCCAGACCATACAATCCCATGGAAATCCTAAGGGACAGAAGCAGGGAGAACCATGGAACAATAAAACCCAGTGGTTATGCTTACCATTTTCATCCAAGGAAAAGTCATCCTGAGCATAGCGAAATTTTTCAGGACCACAAGCAATAAACACATCATCATCACCAAAGAAATCGTGGAGACAGGTTACCTGTGGAGAAAGTAGAAATACTGGATTGGTATCTGATGGTCCTGTGACAACGAGCCTCACGCCATGTTGGCAGGGGAAAAAAACCTCATATATAAGCCATTATCTCTAGCACTCAGGGATCTCCTTTTGCTCAAAACACCTACCATGCTCATAAATCTGCATCATGACCCCTAGTGAGTGATGATACACTGAGTGCCATTATCTTTCCACGTTCCATGTGTGGTAGTCTTGTTTCTATTGCATCAAGAGTAAATTAAGACTATATCCAAATGGAATGCCCCCCTCTGAAAAAAGGTCAACCAGCAGATGGCCCTACAAATGTTACCTTTTTTCAGAGCCTCAAAGACAGAGTGCTCCTGGCCCAACTCTGGGGCCAGGGATCTAGGCCAAGGCATATGAGAAAAATTATCTGCAGTCTGTAGTGGATAGACCCTGTAGCTGACCCAGAAGTGGAAATTCCTCTCTTTATCTGCATGTGTTCTAAACATCATTTCTTAACTGCTTCAGACACACAAAATTTGGACTTTCGCTAAAAATGGGCCAAGAACCTGGTAGTGGCCCAGAATATCATTCTCCCTGAGAAACCAGGAAAAGAAAACTCTGTTGACCACTTAAAACTTCATCAAGGGCAATGGGTCTCAATAGGCTTGAGTTTTTGCTGGTGGAGCCATGTTCCCAGACCCTTCCAGCCCTCTGGCACCCTAAGGATTGCTGCTTCTCCACAATAGAGAGACAATCTCCCCAACCCTCTTTCTACACAAAGAAATGAGGGTCCCTGGGACAGTATGCTGCTCCCTGCAGTCTCCCCACTTCTCAGCTTTCCTAATTACATCTGCTAATTAGTCCAGCACACCAGGAAAACCCCAGGAGAAACCACAGAGTCAAAACATGCTTATTCCACTTCTTAGTTTGAAAGTGTTCAAAGCCTCTAATTGTTCTAAGCTTCCCATTCAAGCTGCCAGCAATGGCTTTCCAAAGGCAAAGTGCTCACAAACTAACAACAACTCACTGGGTACATACGTTACATTAGAAAAATATTTATATTAGAAACATCATCCCCCACCCAAGGTCAATTTGATCCCTGTTCCCCTAGCCAAAATGATTGCAAGCTTTACACAAAGGGAGAGATACTGAAAGATTATCCCCATTGTCTCAGCCTCCCAATCATCCAAGAGATGCCAAGAGAAGGGAAGGAGACTCAGAGGACTACCAGGCTCACTCTTATTAAACCTTTTCTCAGTCTTGGGTCATGACCTCATCAAATAGCCCAAAACCCTTCTTCAGCCCACTGGTCCCTCACCCATTCATCGCACAATCAGCAATGACAGTCAGAGCTACCACTGATTGAATGCTTACTCTGTGACAGGTACTCTGCTAAGCACTTCCAAATCTGTCACCTCATTTTACCCTCACAACAAACCCTAGAAGTCAGTATTATTATCAGTGCTATTTTAAAAATGAGAAAACTGAAACCCAGGGACAATAAGTAAATTATGCAAGTGGAAAGCAATGAAGCAAAATGAAGACAGATCTATCTGACTTCAAAGTCTGTCCTTTTAACCACTCAGCAATACAAAGCACTAACATACAGTCCAGGCACTGGGGAGACAAAGATAAATAAGACTCAGGCCATGGCTTCATGGAGCTCACAGTATGATGAGGTGAGATACATTGAAATAGATCATTTCAATTTAGTGTCATGAGCAATCGATTACCACATCCAAGTGACACCAGTCACTGGCTGGCACTGTTAGTTCAATAGGCCTCCTGCAGATTGTCCTGGTAGCAGATCCAGTGACAGACGCCACATGACTTTGAGCCCTGCTACCAACCTCCCACCAATATCTTGGACTTTGACTCAATAAAATCTGGAGCCCCTAACTTTGATACATCAAGTATCTCTGAATTGTTCATCCCCTGCCAACTCCTTGACCTTGAAGATCTCTGCCATGTCTTCTTGTTTAAGGCTGCCTTGACCCTGACTAGCTGCATTTTTTGTTGTTGTTGCTCACTAGTAGGGAAAGCATCACCCTTGGGTGTCCCTCTCCTAGTGGTCTCTAGGATTTAGCACTTTGTTTCAAGACCTGCCTGTATTTTATAGGTGCTAACCTAGTCCTCCCCATTGGGTCACAGGTTTCTGAATATAAAGACCAAGTTTATACCTCCTTCTATACCTTTCCATGGTTCCTGGTATAGAGCTTATCATATAGTGACAATTTAGTTAGGGCTGTTTCTGCCTAAACTGCCTGCAAAGGAGACAAGAAAGAGGGACATTCAGAGGCTTTGTGAGAAAATGCAAAGACAGAAAAGCAGGAATAAGAAAGATGAAATCAACTGTGTCAGATAACAGAGATTAGTATTCAGAGGCTTTGAAAGGTAACAAAAACACACAAATTTAGGAACAAGAAAGTAGAAATGACTGTGAATTCAGAAGTTATTCTTCACATAACTATGCTAATTAGCTTGACAACTTAGATGAAATAGATTTTCAAAAGAAAGTCTAAATAATCAAATCAGCTCAAAAAGAAATAGAAAATCTAAACCAACTAATAGCTGTACAAAGAATTCAGTAAATACTTCACACAGAAACCTTCCCCCAGAAGTCACCAGAGCATTCATTTTAGAGGTATTTGTGGAAATTGCTTCCCAAGAAGAAAACCTAAAAGCTTGAAAGCTGCCATCTCAGACATATGCCATGATAGCCTATTGTGGGACAATGAAGACTCACAGATTGCTCTGGGGGTTGCTGTTACAATGACCCACCCTCCTCCAACCCCAAGCCTCTCCATTCCCACTCAGGCTTTGGGAAAAGCCTTTGGATAACCCCTCCTTTGGGAAGCTTCTAAGAAAGGCAAAGTCCCCTATGCTTCTGACAAACTCATAATAGTGTGGCCGGCTTCAAACACATTCATGTTGCAATCCAGCTGTTTAGCATCAGGTTTCTTGTATGATCCCTTTCCACATTTTGCTGGCTCTCAAATGCAGACAAATTCACATTGTGCATGTGTATACCCAGCTTTCCCAAATGCCTTGGGTATTGAAACACAGCAGCCCCCCATCTTTATTATGGGGTTGGAAGAATAGAATGTTCTTCATCTTAAATATGAGGAACCCAAGCCACCGAGAGTCAAAGTGGCCCAAAGATACACAGCTGGCTCGTGGCAGAGTTGGGACTAGCATTCAGGGTTCTGCTTCAATTCAGGACAAAACAATTCAATTGCCTGAGAGAACTTATCTTCCTAAAGCCCTGATTTCAAAAGCTTATATATAGCCTAGACAGGAAGAGTTCCCACTTTTCCTAAGCAACACCTGATATGCATTAAAACATCTTACTGGATTGAAAAAAGAAGCTTCTTTATGGATCACATATTAAATCTATGTACAAAAAAATTCCTATTCATTACTGTCACTGGCAACTGAATATGTGATGGAGAAGGACAAGGAGAAGGAAGGGAGAAGGAGGAGGAGAATAGAGTATAAGAAATAATTCCCAAATAAAACTCACTCTCAGTTAACACCTGCTTTTTAAAATTCCTTGGAGGGGCCTGGCATGGTGGCTCACGCCTATAATCCTACCACTCTGGAAGGCCGAGGCAGGAGGATCGCTCGAGGTCAGGAGTTCAAGACCAGCCTGAGCAAGAGAAAGATCCCATGTTTATTAAAAATAGAAAGAAATTAATTGGCCAACTAAAAATATACAGAAAAAATTAGCCGGGCATGGTAGCGCATGCCTGTAGTCCCAGCTACTTCTGCCTCGGGAAGCTGAGGCAGCAGGATCGCTTGAGCCCGGAAGTTTGAGGTTGCTGTGAGCTAGGTTGACGCCACGGCACTCTAGCCCGGGCAACAGAGTGAGACTCTGTCTCAAAAAAAAAAAAATAATAGAAAATTCCATGGAGGTAATGCAACACAAGACACAGGTCTACCTTTGCTTACACTACAAATGTGTGATTTTCCAAATCTGTTTTTTGAGATGGAATTTCCATTATGAGGTGGCAACAGAAGTAGTCAATATAATAATCACTATGATACCACTTACAGCATCCTCAGGGATCAAAGGTTTTGCTGACATCAGCTTCAGTATGAGTCATACTTGCATATTTAATTCAGAGAAAAGAACACAAAGGCATGACACCTATCTTTATAATTAATCAACTGCCAGCACAAAATCGATAAAATCTACTTACATTAACATTGAACCATTAACTCAATGCTCTTCTTTAAGAAAAAAAAAAAAAAAAACAGCAGGTGTTGGGGGAAGGGAGCCCAGCTTGACTGTGCATTAGCGTGAACAATAGATTATATGGATGGTTCAGTGGCTTAAATGTTGAAGTACAAATGGGCAAATGGAGACAACAGATTACTGTGTGGGAGCAGTTTGAGTCTATCAGCTGCAAATGGAAAATTCACTGTGTGACATGATTTAAGCTTGATTGTATTCTCCAGCCACATATTACAGATGCTGGCAGTTCTTGTACATGCCTGCTGCTAGTACATTCTACATTTCACTTATCTACTCAGAAAGAAATATTATCTCGGGACATAAAGTCTTACTTGTATATCTATGAGACTCACTTTTAACATGCAAAACGTTTTCGTTAAAAGTTCAATTCCACTAATATTGATACATTAAGCACTTACTAGGGCAAAGGAACTCTGTGAAAGATATGGAAATGTACAATAAAGGGCCCCTGTCTCCAGAGAGCTGACAGCATAATAAGCAAGTGGGAACTATACAAATAATTGGAATACAAGGCAGGCTGTTGTTAGGACTATTTTAGAAGCACAAAGAGCAAGGGAAGCTCAGAAGACAGAGAGAACAATTCTAATCATGAACTGGGGAAGGCTTCTCAAAGAAGATGACACAAAAACTGAGTCTTGAGGGATGAGTGTGAGATAGGTTGATGGAGACAGGATACGGTATTCCAGACAGAGGAAACCGCAGGAACAAAGGTAGAGAAGCAGGAATGTGGCATTTTCTTAACAGACTTTGGTGGGAAAGA